TAGCTACTGCCTACATTTTAATTATACAAAGAACTGTGAACGATTCCACAATTCACGCCTAGGCAGCAGCGATAACGTACCACATCAACAACCTAGCTGAGATACATCTACCCCCCCCCCCCCCCCCCCCCCCCCCCCCCCCGAAAATAAAAAAAAAAAAAAAAAAAAAAAAAAAAAAATTTAAAAAAAAAAAAAAAAAAATATAAAAAAAAAAGGACCACCCAAAAAAAAATACCCCCCAAAACAATAATTAAAAATGTCGGAGGTCCGCAAACCTAGCACGGAGGTTCTAAGAACGTTGCAAAGTTTAATCGCAATGAATGCTAGTGGCCTAATTTATTTTTTTATTTTTAAGCTAAATTTATAAAGGCACAAAAATGTGTCACCTTTGTTGACGACACATCTCCCATATAGGAGCGGAATTGTCACAACAGTTTCAACATATTTTTTATGGAATGGTGTAAAAAAGAGCAGACAACACCTGATGGTAAGTGGATAATGTTGCGCATAGACTCATACATCATCCTTTTAACTAATTATTAAGCAGATTCGTTGTCGCCACTGATAACAAAGATACCAGTAAAAAGGGTGTCCTGTTTTTTTATATAGGATAGGGTGACAAACGAGCACACAGTCTACCTGATGGTAAGTGGTTTCTGTGGCCCACAGACATCAGAATCAAAATGCAGATGTGATACCGACCGTGAGGACTAAGATGAAATGCCTCTTTTCCAGTAAAAAGGGTTTTCGGTTCTCTACACTCAACATACGAAACACAGCGGCATTAAGCTGCTATTTTACGCTGGTATTCCGTGAGTACTACTAATATAACTGCAGTATGGCTCTACCACGTAAAAAGTTTGTGAGATCGTGGTCGTTATAGCATGGCTTTATCCAGTAACAGAATCCTGCGCATATATCTATTCACAGCTATATATAAATAGAAAATCCTTGCTTCAATACAATGTTGCCCGCTCTAAGTTACTCCGTGGCTAGACATCTTGATCATTAAGTAAGTTGATACTGAGGCAAACAGCCGCATAGCTCTGTGGTTTAACACGTGTTAGGAAGAATCAGGAAATAGATAATATCGTTGCTATTGTAAACTAATACGGGCTAAGCGTAGCCTTCGAAGTAGGTATAAATATTAATTCCAGTCTCATTATTATATTACTTGCGACCCGCCCGACTGCCCCTCGATAGGGATCTAACGCTATTTAAATAATATCAGGTAATCAAAGATATTTTAGGACTTTTTTTTGAGAAATCATTAAGTTTTTCGTATAAAATATAGCCTTATAATACAAAACAATAACTCCAAGTAAAATTAATAATATCAATTTTCACAATATGGACCCTGTCACAAAGGAGACCAAAAATGTTTATTATTCATTATAATTATATTATTCATTATATTTATACATATAGTTATCATAAACTTTTTAGTGAAACGTTGGGAGTTGTGACGCTGCATACTACCGTCTACGGCACATCTCACATGAGGTATTGAATACAGATTTAAGAAATAAAAAAAAATACTCCCTCGCATAGTTTGACCGTCCGAGCTTGTTCAGGGCCGTCTGAAAATAAGCGTTGCAAGCTCGCGGCTTTTTTCAGATTTGTTAGTACAGTTTTCGTTTATGGATGTATTTAGGTCATTGTTATGAGCGTACTGATAAGATGATGTAGTTTAAGAGTTAAACGCATCGTCTAAATGTCGGTACTGAGAGTATGTAAGTGTGTTTCCTTAACATAACACTAGTATCTGTGTCTAAGTCGTAGATACATGGTAAGACAACTATAATATTTATCATACGTAACTCATACCATTTACACGACCTATTTTATCATCAACACCATCATTATCGTCATTACAACCCATCACAAATTCACCGCTAACCAAGGGCCTACTGGTAAGGAATATTGAAATCACTATCCTGAGCCACCTGCATCCATCGACCTTCTCAGCTCTTTCCAGATCGTCACTCAATGTAGTGGGTAGCATACCCTTCGCTGTCTATGCGAGATCCTTTTTTCGGTTTTTGTCGGTTAAGTAAAGAGACATAGTATACTTAAAACTAATGATGTGCTTCGACTAATTTTTACATTATTTTATGGTGAATATGTTGATTCAAGGTGCAAGCAATGTCGTAACCATAATATTGACATTTCAAAAGAAATACATTTTAATGGTATCTAAAACCCAACACAGCTCAAGAAAGAAGTGTCAAAAGCAATTTATTTTAAAATTAAAATTGGGTCATAGCAACGATAAGGTCATTCATCATCATCATCATTACAGACCTTCACAAGTCCACTGCTGAACCAAGGCCTCCCCCAAGGTATGCCACAAAGCACGGTCATGAGCCACCTACATCCATCGACTTCCTGCATGTCTTACCAGGTCGTCACTCTATCTAGTGGGAGTCGCCCTACAGTTCGCCTAACGATACGAGGCTGCCACTCGAAGACCTTTTTTCCCCAACGTTGTCGGTTCTTCGAGTTATATGGCCGGCCCATTGCCACTTCAGCTTACTAATCTCGGTCAATCTCGTTCTACTGCGGATATCCTCATTTCTAAGTACATCACGCAGAGAAACTCCAAGCATAGCCCTCTCCATAGCTCGCTGAGCGACTTTGAGCGTCCTAATAAGGCCAGCAGTGAAGGACCACGTCTCGGTTCCGTAGGTCATCACTGGCAACACGCACTTGTAGTACAACTTAGTTTTAAAACTAAGGTAAGGTCATTGGACTCAGGAAAAACTATAGTCTTATGCTTTAAAACTCACGAGCTTTTCCGTGGATATGTTTCATACATCCATCCTTCCGTCTGTTACAGGCTATAAAAGTTTAGTGCTGAACATAGGCCTCCCCCATAGATTGTTTTATAGGAAGGATTTCGCCATTGTTGCCATGCTTAGCAATCGCAGTTATCAGTTAAATACTGCGCCCATCTCCTGCTTCAGTTTCCCTTTATCGCCTCTTACGACACCCTCGGAGCAATATGGGGCAGTGGATATTCTTACAGCGTCACTACACAGTGAATATGTTATTTTGTATAACTATCATATTACGCTGTGGATTTATTGTTACACAAAAAAATGTAAATACAAAATTACTAAAAATCGATCGTCATTTCAGACTATGGAGGAAAAATCTGAACGTTACGCAGTAAATGACAAAATATCGGAATATATATGCGTACGAAAGCAAGAAAAATACAAACACGAATTTTAATATCTTCTATAAAAGGTATTTACTGAATTATATTACATGTTGGGAATGATTTGCATCGAAAACCCTGTTAAGACTTTACACAAAATTAATGTCTGATGCAAAAAAAGTAACGGATTAGAGCAGAGCGACTAGACATCTTACGATTAGATCTTATTATTCAGATGAATGACTATCGCTATTCAATTAAGGCATATAATCGATCATAAGATCGATTGATGGATGTGACGGACATATACGTAATTATTAGAACGATTTTTTTAAAAGTGATTATACATATTTAAGGAACTAACATTAGTATTTCAGGGGCGTAATGTATTACTCGTCTAACAACTTATATGGACCTAGGTCTGAAATAAAATAATAATAATTATTATTACTGTTATAAGGTTGAAAATCGATAAGCAAAATGATAACTAGGCAATAAAGACCTGGGAACTTTATAATATGTTAACGTGTGCTTTTTTCTGTTGACCTTTTTCGTCCGCAGACGTTAATTTAGCGATAAAGCTTTTAATGTTATATTGTACTCAATTATTTATTTGCCGATGACTTTTATTTGATTGTTCCCTGTTGTTTTGGGACTTGTAGGTTTGATGTTTATGTGTGAGTTTTATCAAAAAAGAACGTTCCATCCTGCCTAGCATGGCGGAAAAGACTTTTAATGGAATGTTGGGTCTGTGATTGTGATTGGAGATGATAAGGCTAGCCACGTATCACTTCTTTCAAAATACATATATTTTTTGGGCTAAACGTGGTCCAACTGCCTCGACATTCGTTGTATTCGTCTTATCCTCTTGGATATAACAGGCATAACTATATGTATGTATAAATGTTTATTAACAATTGATAGAATCAGGCGTTACTTTGCGGAAATCCATTATACCCAACACCACTACTTCCTGGAAGTAGTGCTGCTGGGACTAGTGGTGACGGAGTTAGTGCATGCAATTGAGGGAGGGCGAGAGGTGCCCTTCAATCCAGGTAAGACACATCATTGTATTTAGTTAGCGGAAGGTTGCGAAGTAATTAATATTTTTATTATTGTTTATTAACAAATTAACGTAAATCGGGTATGAAAAGATATTTAAATGATAGTAAAGAATAATTTGTGCGTAAAATTTTTACGAAATTGAATTTAGAATTAATTTCATCTGCTGCCTTGTCTAGGTAATGTATCGGTAATAATCATTTATGAATCGGTTAACATTTAGAAAAGTTACTGGTTCTGAAAGTACCTCTGTCCTGGAAAGACTCCAGCACAACCCCAGGGTGAATTCTTTAAGTTAAGCGTGTTCTCGTGTAACGTGTTCGGCATTTTATACGGCCAAATGATTCAAGATGTTTGAAACATACCCTTTTTTTAAAGAACTATGAACAATCATGTATTATACTTAATACATTTAACAATATAAATCATTACTTATAACTATTATTAATAACTTGGTATTGATCAATTCCTGGAGGTTATGATCCATAAATTGAGATTGAGTAGTGATAAATGGGTAAACGATAAAAATCTTTTCATTACCTTGTTTCTAATTCCATATTCAACAGCGAATTTGGTTTAATATCAGTCAATTTGTTTAACATAAAATACGGGACGAAACTATAAAACAAGGAAAATGTCGATTAATCCGCAACTCAATATTTTCCTTATTTCATAGATTCTTATTCCATTCGCAACTGTTGGCAACTGGCAACTGTTAAGGTTAAACACCATTGGCACTAAATAATTTAAGTAAGTATAAATAGATAAGACTCACCTTTATTTTCCCCTTGCAGTGTTTTGACGGAGGGTGCAAGACCGAAGGGTGCCTTCGGTACAATCGCGGAGCCCTTATTTTTTTCAAAAAGCGCCTTGCGTTCCCTCAACGACATCTCTGCAGGATCCTTTTCTTTAGTTTTAGGGCTTCCCGCCTCGAACATGGCTGCTTTAGACAATACAGAGCTCCTGTCGACATTGCCGTTCAGTCTCGGCGCAATTTTTTTTACTACCGGCGATCCTCTTTCGGAAGCCGGCTTGTCATCGTCAGTTTTTGTTTGTACACAACATTCCGATGAGTCGTTTCGGTTTTCTTCCTGCGGAAGCACATTGTTTTCCTTGTCTTTATCACTGTCACTATTTTCGTCCGTCGGTAGCTTACGCGGAGGCGTAGGTGCCCGATATTTTTTGACGGAGGGTTTTTTTGCTACGGTCGCCGGGTTGGCCGGCGGTGTGCTGGCGACCATTGTGGCCATCTTGGGGGCTGCGGCGGCACTGGGGGTTGTCTGCGTGCGCTTCGGTCCCTGTCGGTCGCGATCGGTGTTTTCCGGCGTTGTAAAATCATAAACTAGCCGCGATTGGCTAGCGGAGACTCGCCGGAACCCTTCGCCCTGCTACGATTGGACAACGGTGACGGACGGCGCGGGGTGAGCACGTGTTGTCATTTTGTGTATCGACGCGACACGGAGCGGTTTGACACGATCGTGTTCGATCGCAGCGCGTCACGAAAGTGGGTTAGCTAGCGCTGAAAGGGATCGTGGCGAAGTTGCATCATTGTTACGGGCTCGTCTTGCGCAAGGTAGTCCACGTTTATAACAAATTTTGTAACTAGGAAATGTAATTATTGGAGGAGTCAGCGATTGTGGTTTGCGGGATGGAGATGAATGAACTTGCAGTCGCTGTGTGAGCGGTAGATGTGTCCGCGTGTCTGTCTGATGCTAGCAAAGGGTACGTGGCGCGCTGGTGGCGTCTTACAAACAACTGCCGAACCGTGGTTCGCATCGCAATCGCACCACACGTGCGGAGAACCGGCTCTGGTGTACGTAACTACGTAATTATATGTATTGTGACGTGCACACGTTGCGGACTGTCGTTGCGTTTCGCGATCATTAATGTGAGGAAGTATACATTGGAAGAGATATACAAAAACAATAATTTATCTTTCTAATGATGCTGTGCTACAAAAGTACAGTGAACGGCTACTAAAATATACGGTGAATGCGAAATGTATGACCAAAACAACGAGAATGTAAAAAAATTTAAATCATCACCCGGTCTATGAATTTTCCTACAGCTGCTACAAGCTGTTTTTTGTTTACATTATATTTCGCACCATGAACAAGAAAGTGTATAACAAACTTCCTAAAGGTTAGAGCTATTGGCTTCTACGCCGCCAGTGCAAGAACTTATTCTAGCCGGAGTTAATATTTGGGTATAAAATATAAACATGCGTTCATGTTGTCATGTCACGTTTGTTTTGATTGTTTTCACCATAGAACACTATAATACATACATAATAGAACGGGGGAGTGGGCGAAGCCCATGTAGCCACTAAAATGTCACTAACACGTCAATTCACACGTATAAATGTCAACATGAGATGTGTTTTGACGTTATAATCGTTTCCAAATTTCCCATGCAAATTATTTAGAAAATACCAAATTGCACATTATTTACATATAAATATGTCCTAATTAAGCGATTTTTTTAAATAATAATTTTGAACATTAATCAAGTCTAAAATGTGTAAATTTACTCAGTCTGTCAAAACAGCGAATCGGGTTTGTAGTAGTGATAATACGACGTAATTGCTTGTATGTGTGCTCCCGGCGATGCTGAATCTCGTACAAAATAAGTTTGACAGCCATTCTATTGTGTATTATAGTATTCTATGGTTCTCACTGACACAGCACCTTAGCTTACTCCCAATCTAATCCATCGATTATAATAGTCGCGGCATATACGATACGACGAATATGTGCTTCTGTGTTGGCGGGTAAACTTTTAGCACTATGATATCTCCAAAAACATTCGAATCTTATTGTGGTGATCAAAAATCGGTAAGGTTTCATTCCCTTAACAAAATATAATGTAGATAAAATAATAATAATGTACTTCCAACTGCACTTTAAGCGATGAAAAACGTTAAAATTGAAATTAGAACGTATTTATCTTATAAATATAAAAAATATAAATGGTAATTTGTTGTCACATGATAGTAGCATAGTAGCGTAAGAAAATCTACGGAATAAAAATAACCTGTAAGTTAACTATAGAGAAAGCGAAAACCATATACTCTAGTTGTCGGTATTACCAGCTTGTTATCCCGGGCGTAAAATATCCGGTTCTCTGTCGTATAGCAGCGAGAATTACTCCTAGTACTAAGATCACCTATTCATTAGCTCAGCTAAGGGATTAATGAAAATCCTCCGTATATAACAGTCGGATGTAAAAAAAGACCTAGTTACTATAAAGAACCCAGTTACGACTTTATTACTCACCCTGGGATCTAGCTAATCTCGTTAGCAGAGAAAAATGATCAATTTTAGCATCATAGTAAGTACAGATACGGAAAGTTAAGACCATATTACTAGATATGACCTGGGGACCTTCAAGAAAAGAGCTTACTCCTTTATAAAAGGCCGGCAACGCACCTGCAATTCCCCTGGTGTTGCGGTTGTTAATGGGCGGCGGTAGTCACTTAACATCAGGTGAGCCGTATGCTCGTTTGCCCCCTTTTCTATATAAAAAAAAGAAGGTAATACTCTTTTCTGTCTAGGAATCCGACTCAGTGGGTACAAACCCCTTACATATTTCGGCCAACAAATAGCAGAGCTTAGTACAGGTTGTGAGGCATTCCATCTTAGTCCTCAGAGGTGACAACGAATCTGTAATCTTCTTTGTTTGAAGTCGGCTGCGGGTGTCCATGGACTGCGATAACTAATTTTTATTTTTTAAAGAATAATCGTGACAAACGAGCACAAAGTCCACCTGGTTTTAAATGGATGCTGTGGCCCATAGACATACACATTTATCCTCAATTAATAATCTAAACGCGGTTACTTTGTCGACTAAGAAGGAACACTCATCATACGAAACACAAAAGCATTACGCTGCTATTTTAAGCTGGTATTCTGTCTGTGAGAGTCTACTATCTGTGGTCCTACCCTTGTCGAGTCGACTAATTCGTGCTACAACTATAATATAACTGTAGCGTGGCTCTATAACGTAAAAAAATACTTTTACTGTAATTAAAATTACTAACAAGTGCGCTGTAAATTCGTTTTTCACTTCAGATTAAGAAAAATATAATAAGAAGTCAAATTCCACTTGTGTGCTGCGACGCAAATTAATGAGTAATTTAGAATTAACTGGCAAAAATTGTAAAACAAAGAAAATATTGAGCCATTAGTCTATCAGAAAGGACATAAAAAGTTTATAGCGTCAATGCAACAAATTAATGCTGAATTATATAATAAAAAGAAAACCATTACACTATATGGATAAATTTCTTTATGAGCGAAAAGCAGATATTACATAAAAAATACTATTAAAGAAAACAGAATAATGTAAAATCTGTCTTCCAAATCAATATAATAATTTTGAAGTTCTAGTTCTGCGAATTCGTTTCAACTTTGAAATATACTAAATAACCTTTATTAGTTAAGATGTCAAATAACCGAAGTAGAATGATGTACATAGTTATGCTACAAATAGATTATCTCCCCAACTTCCCTCCAGACCAGTGACCTGCAGTGAAATAAATACACACTCAAGTACATTCAACACTTCCCTAACCGGGCTATGAGCTTTGGTGTCAACAAGACTCGGAAAAAAACGCACACAGATAGGGAGGGTACGCGAATGTTTCACTGCATTATGAATACATTAAAGAGAATTAAACATTTAACACATACGAAATAAGAGACATTTTAGATTGTATTTATTAAGGGCATTGAAACAGCTGTAGTATTGAACCTTCAAAGAAAGAAAAAAAACGAATACCCATTTAGTTTTTTGTTTATTCATAACTTTGGTAACGATAAGCTTATGCTTCCGTATATTGAAGGCAATTTTATCGTATCGTAATTGGGTATTAGATGATACTAATACTTAAAAAAAAATTGTTATTTGTAATTTTATCAATAGTTTGGCTTTTTTGTTGTGTTTTATCAATAAAAAATTATTAAAAACGTTAGCAAAGTTTAATGTTTTTCGGGTAGTACTTAATAATGGTAGAGTTGAATATTTTAAGCAACCATCGTGCGATAGCTTTAAATAATACAACATTCCGTTTCTTCAACCACATGTCAAAATGATTAAGGAAAACCACCAAACTATTCGCAAAATGACCAGTTACTAAATCTTCTAGGTCAAAGCCAAAACTTAATGTCCAGATTTTTAGTCCTACCAACGATCCACCCTTTAAGTATGGTTTAAAGCCTGTGAGAGCTTTTTAAGATAAAATATAAATAACTTTAAACAAAAAGTAAAAACCGACCTCAAACAGATAAAAAAGAATTATATTATATTATTATTTATTTGCAACCTTTAGGGGTGGAATTTTTATCTTCAAATTTATATGGGACCACCCTTGAAGAATCATCAAAATTGGTTCACAATCTGCGAAGATATTGTGTAACATATATATGAAAAACACTCGCCAATGCAAATAATTATTTTGTGCGAGAATTGAACCTGAGCGCCATAGCCGAACAGTGTCAAGTTTATTTCATTTTAAATACGTGTTTATTTCTTTCTTCACTCCACTTTAACCGATTTCATAAAAGAGGAGGTTCTATTGAGAACCTCTTCCTTTATGAAATCGGTTAAAATAATTATTTGCATGACCCACGAATAATTATTGTTTGCAGTGTTCGAATACACGATACAAACAAACGACAAACGAGATGTCTTAACTGTGGTAAATATAATAGTGTCCACCTGAAAAATTTCGTTGCCCAGTCGTATCATCGCCCAATAATGAATGTTACCTAGTATCTTCGCAGTTACAGCTTAGGAAAACGCCTGTAGTTTCAAAGGCAGTCACACTTTAAAATACTGTAATTTGCTAGTAATAAAATTTCATTTGTAGTTTGATCCTCAATCCGTGCTTCCGACGTTAGTGATCGCTAAGCTGACGGATCTCCACGAGCTTCACTCGCAACTCATCCGTACCCTGAATAAGTGAAATCATCATCATTATCATTCACCCATTTATCAAGCTATATACTGCTCTGAGTCCGATGAAGCCGTAAAAACCGGACTTGCGACACAAATATCACCGAAAAACGAAAACCGACGTATCGGCTTAACGGTTAATACCTGTGAAACGTATCTGTTCGTTCCAATTTAAACTCGACATACAACAGGCAGCAACCAAATAACAGTGTTAAGTAAGGAAGACCTTGTTTAAACGACTATTTAGGATAGAACACGTAAACACATTAGCTAATTACTCAACCGTGACGTAGCT